AACCGACTCCATGACAGTGAGTTTGCTTTTTTGTTTTTTGGTAAGCCCCATCAAGCAGGAAATCATCCTCATTTTATAGATGAAAAAATCGAGACATAGAGAAATTTAGTAATTTGTAAGAGAGAGAACTACATAGCTAGTAAATATGGTGTGCTTGAGACGGATGGACGGATGGAAGAATACATTAATGGATAGATAGTCAGTTAGAGCATTTGGAGTTTATAAAAGATCTTGTTATCTTTCTTCCCATTAGCTCCAAGTCCTGTATTAATCACTAGAAGGCAGAGATTAATCCAAAAAAATACAAGGGTCTCCTCTCAAGCTATCAGTCTATGTGGACACAGACAAGAACAAAGTCACACACTGCAGACATTCACACCCAGTCCAGGATGCATTCACACTGAGTCAGGGTGCAAAGGCATACAGACACATGCAGACAAGAACTGAAATTTTACATTGATACACCAGTATAGACAACACAATCCAGTTTTACACAGAGTTACTAATATACTTAGAGATAAGGTAGATACAGAAAAGGACACACTAAAAATAGAAGACACAAACACACTTCCACTTGAGCAGACAAAGACACATACATAGATGAGAACACATAGGTGATGTGCACACAGAGACAAGGACAAGGCAAAGATGCATGTTGCATTTAAAGCCAGGCTGGACACACACATCGCAAGGACACACACAGACAAGGTCATCATCACACAGTCAAGGACATAGATACACAGAAATGCTCACCTATTCAAAGACACAGATAAACAGATGTCTCTCTCTCTCTCTCACACACACACACACACACACCCCTACCTCAGCAGGCAGAACAAAGACAAGGTCCGTCTTCCTATTTCAGACAGAGCAGCCACCTTCACTGCAGGTCCAACGCTAGCTTTAGCTATATGCCAGTGATTTTGCACTCCCTCCAGGTGACAAGCACTCATTTGGGTCTTGCGCTTAGTCTGCAGATTGAGGGTCCACTTCCTGCACTGCTTCAACTTAGAGCAGGTGTGCTTGAAGAGGAAGGGCTCATTCGCATGCGCTGTTTTCTCTTGAGGTTCAGAATTCCTTCCTTAGCCCTACCCAGACCACCCTTTCTTACTTACTGATATACCTTCAGGGCCAAGAAACAGTATCAAGCACAAGTTTTCTCTGAAACGTATCAGGCCCAGCCCTCCCTGCTCTCTCCTCAGCCCAGGTTACCTCTCACTCAGTCTCTACTGCAGCCTTCCATCTGGTTTGGGGACCCGAAGTCCCCCACCCCTCTCCACCTCACCTGTCCCTGGGACACTCTTTTGAAGCCTCCTCTGCTCTTTCCCATTTTAATAACAATCAATGACTTTTGGGTTCTAATCAGGGCTTGTCTAATGAGAAGGGGGAAGGCAACACTCTGAACTCACCCGAACCCATTCTCCCCAGAGCAGCCTGAAGGAATGATTTAAAACGCAAATCTGAAGGCACTGAATTTTTCTTACTTACTGATATACTCTCAGGGCCAAGAAACAGTGTCAAGCACAAAGTAGGTGCCATTTTCAGCCCAAAACATCACTTCCCCAGGGAAGCCTTCTCACTCCTCTCAGGCTGGGTTGGATTTCTACACACATACAGGCACAGAGAGACACACTTGCGTGTGCACACAGGTACACACGTGTGCATACTCATGTACACGTGTGGTTTAGTCATACTATGAAGTTTATCTACGTTGTCGTGTGTTTTTTTTCGATTCACAGTGACCCCACGTGACAAAGCAGGACTGTCCCAGAAGTTCTCCTGGGCTGTCATCTACATGGGAGCAGATCACCGGGTCTTCCTCCTGGGGAGCCACTAGTGGGTTCTAACCGTTACCAGAGCTCCTATTTCTGTTGTTGTTAGGTGTCATTGAGTCGTCTCTGATTCATAGCGACCCTGCGCACAGCAGAATGAAACACTGCCTGGTCCTGTGTCAGCCTCAC